AAAATGAAAGAATCATTTTCTAATTCATTTTACAAGGCTAGTGCAACCTGATATAAAACAACAAATATAAGAAGGGAAAATGACAAGCCACGCTCTGTTGTGGACCTACAAGAATCTGAAACAAAATACCAGTGAGCAAGAGAATGAGCAGTGGGGAGGGGCCGGGGGAGGGGGAAGCACACTCCCCACTGAGCAGGGAGTCGGACTCAGCCTCTGGGCTGGACCCCAGGACCCCGAGACCAGGACCTGAGCTGAAGGCAGACATTTAACTGAATGAGCCACCCAGGCGTCCTAAAACTCTAGCTTTTAAAAGACAATGTAGAAAAATATCCTTATGACTTTAGGGCAAGAAAGGATTTCTTAAACAAGACACACACAAACTCCACTAACTGTAACATTAATAGTACCTAATTAAAATTAAGCACTCCTGTCCCACAGAAAGCACCATATAGTAAGTAAAAAGACAAGTCACAGAGAGGAGCTATTTGCAATACATATGATTGATAAGGAAGGGACTTTGCACCCAGAATATGTAAAAGAACACCTAAAAAGTTGGTATGATTTATACAACCCGAAAGAAAAACTGATGAAAAGTTCCTGATAGCAGAGGAAATTTGAATGGCCAATAAATAAGAGGATAAATAAGATTGTAATGTGGGAAGTTTATACTGACTGCTCAGTCCAAGGTTATGTGTGGTTTCAACTTCACTAGACATTGCCAAATTTTTTTCCAAATAGATTTTACCAATTTCACCCCCTGTGGCCATGCACAAGAGTTCCAATTCTGCCACATTGTTTTTTTTTTTTTTAAGATTTTTATTTATTTATTTGACAGAGAGAGATATCACAAGTAGGCAGAGAGGGAGGCAGAGAGAGGGGGGAAGGCAGGCTCCCTGCTGAGCAGAGAGCCCTATGAAGGGCTTGATCCCAGGACACTGAGATCATGACCAGAGCCTAAGGCAGAGGCTTAACCCACTGAGCCATCTGCCCCTGCCACATTGTTTTTTAATGAGGTTTATTTTAAAGTAATCTCTATGGCTCACGTGGGGCTCGAACCTACAATCCCCAGATCAAGAGTGGCACGCTCTACTGACTGAGGCAGCCAGGCGCCCCCGAGTTCTAGTTCCATCACATTCTGGTCAACATTTAACAGTAACAGAATATTTGATTCCGCCAATCTGATGGTGTATACATACATCCTCTGATGTATCACTCTGATGATTGGGCTTCTCCACTAAGGCTTCTCCACCAAGGCAGACACCAGTCAGGACTTCGGGTGGCTTCGAGGAGTTTCCAGTCTTCCTTCTGGTGGCGGCAGATCATGGATAGGGAAAGGAAGTGCAGGGAGCCCCAGGGTTGGACCCTTGGTCCTTAGTGAAGCTGAAGGTGGTGCGGTGGGATGAGGCGGTCCAGGAAAACATCAGCGTCTACTCTGATGATAAAAACAGGAAGAAGAGGAAATTTGAACCTGGGTCTGCTTGTGTGAGGAGCCCTGCTGGGTACAGCAAGAATGCTTGTAATTTAGGTGTGTCGCATTTGGGATTGCTTTTGGCCCAACTTGAATGTCTCCTGGGTAGCTATTTGGCTCTGTTTACGGCTTTAAAAAGTTGCAGGGAACTTTGCCTCATGGCAAGCAACTCTTGATCATAATGAAGTTATAAATCAAAGAGTTAAATTTAAGAAATGAAATGACACACACAGACAACTGAGAATGAAATGCATGTAAACATTTCCCTATCTCTGACCTGGAAGGGTCTTTCTAAAAATTTAGATGATGGATGCAATCCCAAAGGCAAAAGCACTAGATCAGACAACATGAACATATGTAAAAAAGTAACAACAACAAATGCTAAATGGCAACAACGAACAACTATTCATGGCAAATATTTCCCCCAAACAAAAGTGTATGGCACGTATTTTCCAGAACATATTTGTCATATGAAAATACAGGGTCACAATTTTTAAGGTCCACATACATAGGGTCGTGTTAAGAGCTGGCTTTGGAGTCATACAGACCTTCCACTGTCAAAGCCAGCAATGGCCAGTTGAGTCTCTTAATTCAGGTCTCACTGATACGGAGGGTCCTGCCTGCACCTTTCGTAGACAAGGACTCTTGGGTTTACATTGGACCCACCTGGATAATCAAGGCTAATCTCCTTCTGTTAAGGTCAGCTGATTAACAACCTTGATTTCTTCTCCAGCGTTCATTAGCCTCTGCCGTGTAGGGTAATGCACTCACGAGTCTGGGTGGCCGTTATTCTGCCTGCCACACCAGCTATGTGACCCTGAGCAAGTTATTCTCTTGAACCTCAGTTTGTCTTCAGTGGGGTTTCTTTTTTTTTTTCCCCTCCCAGTGGTGTTTCTTAACCTCAGCCCTATCGACCTATTGGGACAGATAAGTCTTGGTTGTAAGGGCTATCCTGCACATGATAGGATGTCTAGCAGCCTCCGTTGGCTCTATCCATTAGATGCCATAGCAACCGTCCCCCTCCCCACAATGATAGCTACATATGTCTCCAAACTTTGCCCCATGTCCCTTATGGGCAGAATTGCCCCTTGTTGAGAAATGGTCTGTACAATAGCTGTTCTCACCTCTTAGTGTAGTTGTGACTGTCAGACTAGATGGTATGAGTGTAGCCGTTGAGTGTCAGGCTAGATGGTACGAGTGTAGCCGTGACTGTCAGGCTAGATGGTATGAGTGTAGCCATGACTGTCAGACTAGATGGTATGTATAAAAGATTAATAGAGTGGCACGTTCCTAACAAGGTCTCCCCACATGGTATAGATCTGTAGCTTACTTTTCTTTTTTTTCCCCTTCTTTTTCAAGATTTTATTTAATCTCTACACCCAATGTGCGGCTTGAATTTAAAAACCTGAGATCAAGAGTTGCAGGCTCCACTGACCAAGCCAGTCAGGTGCCCCTAGGTCTGTAGTTCACTTCCCCCCCCCCCAAGATTTTACTTATTAATTTGTCAGAGAGAGAGAGCATGAGCAGAGGGGAATGGCAGATACAGGAAGATGCAGGTTCTCCTCTGAGCAAGGAGCCCGATGTGGGGCTCGACCCCAGGACCCTGGGATCATGACCTGAGCTGAAGGCAGACGCCTGACGACTGAGCCACCCAGGCGCCCCTGCAGTTTGCTTTTTTAACATTTAATGTGTCTCAGAGGCTTTCCAGGTCAGTATATACAGAGCCACCTCACTCCTTTTAGCTGCTGAGCAGATGGACCCTGCTTATTTCGGCGGTGGTGACAAGCTCTCTGCCCCCTCATGTGTCTGGCAGGTGCTCAGTGAACAAGGACCTCTCACTGGATCGCCAACTGGGAGAAGTGCTCCGAGGGCTGGAGCAGCCTGTTGATATTTTAGTTTTCATCAACTGTGGGAAGCCTTGGAGTTCTTCTAGTTTGAATGCGTCAGAGTCTGGTCTGGAAATCTACCCGAGATTATTTTTAGCCTACTTGGCCAGAGGACCAGCCGCTCAGTGCAAACGTGGGCTTGGGGCTGGAGCCCGTCCACACGTGCTCCCTCTAGCAGTGGCCACAGACTCGGGAAGGTCTGCCCAGATCTAGGGTGGACCTGACCGATGTGGAACCTTGGGCTCCTGAATCTTAAAGCAGGACTGGGGATTTCCTGGGATTGGCTCCAGCCAGTAAGTAAGGGACCCCAGGGGATGCTTGGGTCCCTTCCTGGCCCTGTGGGGACTGTGTCTGCGATGGTTGTTGGTGCTGATGGGACCTTTGCACGCTGGCCTCAGCCTCTGCCCCAGCTCTCCCCGAGCTCCAGACAAGCTGTGAATGTCCGCCTCACTGTGCCTTTGCTCAAGCTGTTTGCTCTGCCAGGACCTTTCCTCCCTCCTTTTTGGCATTCAAAGCTCAGCGCAAATGTCCCCACTTTGGTCAAGCTTCCCCTTTTCCTACAGGGAAGAGCTGGTCACTTTTTTCTGAGGGCCCAGGGACCTCGTACCTGTTACGTCCTGGTCACAAGGTAGGACTGACTTCTGCTATCTGTCTGCTCCCCTCCCCAGAGGGGCCTTCTGGAGGCCAGGAACTTGGTGCCCATCCTAGAGCCTGGCACAGGGTAGAGCTTTGCGAATGTCTGCCTGCGGAGGGACGCTCCCTGAGTACAGGGTAAAGGCCGGGAGGAAGGCGCCCGGGGGGACGGAGTGAGTTGAGAAGACCGAGCCGAGGGATCACGTGATGTGGAAACGCCCGCCGTCCTCCGGATGACGTCCGCATTGTCTTCAGAGTGTCCTTACGGGCTGGAACGAGAAACACAGCGCATCAGAGGCTTTCGTCCAACTCAGATGAAATCTCTCCTTTCTAGAAAAATACTACAGGAAGACGGCCATCGTTTCAGGGATGATAAGGATACGTCTGTGTGAAACCTCTTCAGCCACTCTCCGTGTGAGCAGTGTCATCAGGTGGACACCGTAGTGGACACTTTTCTAGGGTCTGACCCCCAAACCCTCAGCCATCCACGCGCGATGGGGCTGAGGAGCGGGAAGTGAGTGGAGAGGGCTTGGGTCACGATCTCAGAGTTCTGCGAAAGCATTTTTCTGTGCAGAAGGGTCGGGTCCTCTATGAGAACCTATTAACTTGTACTCTCCGTACATTTGTAAGCAGCGCTTGTATCTCGTTTCTCAGCTCCGACCACAAGCTGGTGGTGATGGAGAAGGGAGTGATGTTGAAAGAGGAGAACCCAACCCGGAGGGAGGAGACCAGCAAACTGTCAGAGAAGCTCCTGAGCCCGCTGTTAGAGCAGAGCCACCTTGGGTTGGGTTACTGAGCGTTTGAACAGATAACTCACATCTGGTGGCCTCTGTAGATAATACTGTGTGGGGGTAGGATATAATCATTGGACGCTGTTAATGCTAAATTTTCTGTGTAAGAAGGCAGGCTATGTAGAACACAGTTTAGAAAATGATTAACACGTAGACTGGTGTGTGGTGTCTATCCTGCACGTGTACTCACTTAGGTGGTCTCTTTCCTTTATTTATCACCAGGTAAATAATGATTGACTGTGGGTCCTGTGCCCTGCAGTGTGGGAGGAGCTCCATGCTGTTACCTAATTTAATCTCTGGCCCCCAGGGAGATAGGTATTATGGATAATCCCATTTTATAGCTGTGGAGGGTGAGGCTCAGAGAGGGAAAGAACACAACCAAGGTCACACAGCCAGCAAGGGCTGGAAAGGACTTTGATCCCAGGTTGATAGGCTCTGAAGCCAGTGCTTTTACCCCATTTGCCCTGACTCTCCTGTGGTCTTCCTCTCTGGCCTTAGTGGACTGCAGTCCTGTTGGGTGTGTCCCTTGCTGTCCTTTAATCTCTACACTTGCACTGCTCCGGGAAGGGTTCAGCCCTGATGGAATTACCTCCTGGGAGGCTGGAGACACCTCAGAGACCCTGAGGTCCCCTGATGTGACATTTTGCTGATGAAAAGCTCCCTTCCTGGAGCCAAAGAATATTCATTGTCCAGGCACAGGAAAAACATACCATGTGTCCCCTGACAGCCCAAAGATGAATCCTGACTGTCTGGACATGCTCAGGGTGTACCCATGGCCTTTGGGTGAACCAACCGCACCTTGTCTCGAGGCCAGAGGTATAGTCTAGCCTAGTGACTAGCCGTCTGTCTGCCTAGTGACTGGTCCAGCTGGAGGGCCGGAGATGGCAGTCCCGGGAGGCAAGGCTCTCCGCTGCTCAATGAAAGGACAGGCACTGGCACGGGAAACGTTAATGCAGATCACCGTTAAACAATATCATGAAACAGTAGAACCCCCCCTTTATGGTCATATGAAACAGTTGGCATGTATATTTATCTCTGTATATGTTGTGTGAAAAATATAGAAATTTGTAGAAGCACTTGGTTGGCTCAGTCCATAGAGCATATGTATCTTGATCTTGGGGTTGTGAGTTCAAGCCCCACATTGGGCATAAAATATATATATATTATATATATATATATATATATAATATATATACACACACACACATATATATGTATATATATAATATAATATAATATAATATATATTTCATATATATGAAAATATATGTAGTATAGAAGAACATACATAAAATTGCTATACAGTGGTCTTCTCTGGGTGGTGGAATTATGAGTGGTTTTTTTTTGTAGAGTTATATATTTTACTTATTTCTGAAAGAGACACAAAATTCAAATCCAGGACACTAGATTCCAAACCCTGTGCTCTGGGCTTATCTGTGCTGCTGTCGCTGCTATTGAAGCCCAACAGTGACTGTCCCACCCTGTCCCCTGAGACTGCAGCCAGCTTGCTGCTGGGACCAGGCACACCTTCTGGAAAGGCCTTGGGAGCTACACCTGCTCCTTCTTCTTCCCACTGGGTCCCTCGCACTGCGCATGCGTGTGGTTTCAGCTGGGATTTTGTGGTGCCAGATTCCTTTCTCAAAACAGCCCAAGTGGAAGTCTGGGTCCTATATGTTTCTTCACCTCCCACCACTGCACGCCCGGCCCCCACCCCTAGATTCAAACCTCATGATGGCCCTGGAGAGATGGGCTGGGAGAGTGAGGCAGGCGGATGGCGCTGTGTGATGGCTTCTCCGCTTTCCGCTTAGTTTGGGCTTCTATGAAAGACAGCGCGATATCATAGATTGGGTGGTTTATAAACAACAAAGATTTAGTTCACGGTTCTGGAGCCTCGTAGTCCAAGATCAGGGCACCAGCAGATTTGGTGTCTCGTGGGCATCCTGTTTCCTGGTTTATAGACGGCCATTTTCTCCCTGTGTCCTCACATGGTCTCTTTTACCAGGGCTCTAATCCCACTCAGGAGGGCCCCAACCTCATGACCTAATCACCTCCCAAAGACCCCAAAGACCTCCTAATACCCTCACACGGGGGATTAGGTTTCAGGTTAGGAATTTAGGGAGAACACAAACATTTAGTCTATGGCACTCTCCTTCTCAGCTACTCTCTGGGGTCACTCCTGTCCCACACCTCCACCCTCTGCTCTCCTCCATCTCCCCCAGGAAATCCTGCCCAGCCATCAAGGCCAGCTCACATGCAGCCTCCTCGGTGAGACCTTTAGCACCGGACTGGGAAAGTTTCCTCGGCCTAGCATGCTTTCCCACACTTCTTTCCTCTAGTCCCTCATGCTTCTAGGTTTGGTAGGGTCAAACTGTGCTGTCAGTCACAGCACAGCCTCTGCCAGAGGAGTGGGCATATGACACAAGCTGACCAGTCAGAGGATACAACCCCCCTTGGTCCCAGAGACAGGATCAGCGATGGGCATGTGACTCAAACAGGACCAATCAGACCCCTCCCTGAGATTGGTAGGAGAATATGGCAGGAGAGAAGTATTCTCTGCTTACCCATGATGCCACGACTCTGCAGCTGCTAATGGCCCTTTCGCCTGCATAGAAAGAGCACTTCTGTGCAGAAGCAAACCATATACAGACAGAGCCTGAATGACAACATTGCTTTAGCCTCTGGATCCAGCTATACCTGAAGCAGATACTCCTGACTTCCCAGTTAGGTGAGCCAGTACATCTCCTTTTTGGTTGAGCTGGTTTGAAATAGCGTTCTTCTCCTTGCATCTGAAGGACAAATGACCAGTACAACTTCCTTGACACCCCCAGGGCCTCCCACCATGTGCCTCCTTGGAGTTAGTAACTCATAATTCTGTGCTACACTAGTCCTCCTCCTCAGTAGGACCTCCTTCCTCCTTTATCAGCCCACAGCTCTGAGACCAGGTATTACTAAAATGAGTGAAGGGCTATTGAGCGAATCGGGGGAGGGATGAGTGCATGGAGACCTTTTCTGCAGCTCCTGACGTTTCTACTCAAGGACAAGCTGGATCTGAACTTACCTTGCAAGGAGACTTTAAGAAAACAAACAGACCTAGCCCCACCAGCCAACATTCCTACTTCAGGAATGAGGCTGGGCTGGGGCAGTGCCTTGATGATCCAGTTCAGACCTGCCAGTGGCTGAGAGAAGACAGAACTGTTTCCGGAGGAGTAAGAGAGCCTGAAGCCATAGCACTGGCACCTGTCGGGGACAGAGCTGACAGCAGGGTGCTTTCTGGCCTCTTGGAGGGCAGCCAGGAGCTGGCCAGGAGGTCAGAGGCACGTCCCCTTGTGGTATCGAGGCCAGGATCCAGACAGGAGTTGGACAGAAAACTGACTTCCTGCCAGGAATCTTAGCCATGCACAGCTTCAGCTCCTGGGGAAGAGTTCAGATTTATTTCGGGTGATGCAACCCTGGGACACAGGCACTGTTTTTAGAGTGGCTGCGAGAATAAAAGTTATGATGGATTTTTTAAAAAATGGAATCAAGTGATCAGTGTGTTTCCAGGTCTGCAACTTGTCAAAACCTTGGTGGACAGTTGAAGAAATGTTTTCCTATAATAAATTAGAAGGCGTTTTATTTTCCTTTGGCTAATCTTTCATCGTAATTTCAATTGTGGTGTGGTGGGGCAGGATTCTTTTTAACTAATTCTGCCCTGAAACATAACATCTGCTGGTCTCAAATTGCCAGAAAGAACCGTTGATAAGTCTGAAATCTATGGAGATTAAATAGAATTCTACAATTTGTCCATATTTTATTTTCATCTGTGGACAGCACCTTGCACTGGTTCTCCAATAAATACCATGATTGTGACTTGGGTATTCAGTAAGTCCATGGATGGTGGTTTCAGCAAAAGCGTGGGCAGCAGGAAAGGCAAATCCGTATTTAAATACTCTGTTCCAATGAGAAAACATTGCTGCTCCTTCCATGATGGAAGCGATCCATAGTCGTCAGCTTGCCACCATCAGGAGCTGGTCGCCTTGGGGAGTGGAGACATTGTCCCCAGATGAGCCTTAAGGAGTGGAAGGGCATGTTGTTGAGCTCATGCATTTTCTCCAAGTGCCACGGCCACTCGGGTGTCCGTTTAGAGCCAGTGTCCAGTCGTCTCTACAAGTCTAGTTATTTTCCCTTCTCCAAAGCAAAACCTGGTAACCTCGTAGAAGGCTGTTTCAGGGCAGCCGAGTTCTTTCTCAAGGGGACTGTGGCAGATTGTGTTTCCCAAACTCATGGCTCATTGGAAGGTGGTTCATCCCACACGGTTTTCTGTAGGATACCATGTTGAGATCCCTCTGCTGAGTGGTAGGGCCTGTGATCTCTTCCTTTGAATCTGGGTCCATCTTAGTCCTAAAACATGGGCTTAGTCCACGGAATGTGGCTGTGATGGTAAATTTATGGGCCAGTGTGACCAGGCTAAGGGACGCCAGAGACCTGGTAAAACATTATCTCTGGGTGTGTCTGTGAGGGTGTCTCTGGAAGAGATCAGCAATTGAGTTGGTGAACTGAGGAAATCAGAGGGTCCTCCCCGCTGTGGGTGGATGCATCCAGGGTGCTGAGAGTCTAACTAGAACAAAAAAGCCGAGGCAGGGAAAAAATTCAGACACCAGCACTCCTGGTTCTTGGGCATTTGACTCCCATCAGGGTTCACACCACTAGCTCCCCCCTCCCCACCTGCATTCTCAGGCCTTTGGACTCAGACTGAATGAAACCACTGGGTTTCCTGGTTCTCCAAGGTGCAGATGGCCCATTGTGGGATTTCTCAGCCTCCATAACCATGTGAGACAATTCCAGCAATAAATCTTCTCTTCTATCTGTCTATCTCCTATTGGTTCGTTCCTCTAGAGAACCCTGACCAGTACAAAGGCAGTAGTGATGATTGACGTGAGGCTAGGTTATAAAAAGCAATACAGTTTCCATATGGTTCTCTTTCTCTCTCTTTCTACACACACATATGTATGTATATACACACATATCACAAACACACACATGCACACATATATGTGGGACATGTGCCTTGGAAATCCTGAGCCAATGTATACGAAGTCTACCAGCTTCCCTGAGGCTGCCATCTTAGAGCACATGTGAAGTCCACATCAAGATAGAGAGGGGTGTTTGAAGGGCCCAGGGGTTCCAGGCCTCAGCTGTGTGCATGTTTACACCCTCTAAGCTTTAACAGCCAGACTTCTGGATGAGACTTCAGATGATTTCAGCCCCCCGCCTTTGCGCTGCCCAGCAGATGCCAAGTAGAATAGAGATGGGCTGACCATAATGCCAATTTATGAGCAGGATAAATGGTGTTTTAAGCACTGAGTTCTGGTTTGGCATAAGCATTATTTTCAGGGCCTCTGGGCCTCTGGACTGGCTAAATTCTGGGAAGGGTTCAGGGGCTTTGACTCTCTGGTGCTATTCAAGCCAAACCTTTGTTCACCTGGCCTAGAGCTTTCCTCTTTATACAAACGAAATCAGTAGCAGGGTGCCCATCTCTTTTTAGGTCCTAGGGATGTCATGATCTTT